GTCTGGAAACAATTTTAGATTTCGTTTTAATAACCATAAACAAACAATACGTCAAAACAACCCTTATTCCCCCATAGCTAAACACTACAATCAATCAGGACACACATTAGAAAACTGCAAATGTTTATTAATAGATTCCGATTTTACTTCCACATTCACACGCAGAAAAAAAAAAAACATATTGGATTTTAAAATTAAATACACATAAATTAGGGGTTGAATAGGGACTTAGGTGTTTTAAATCTTTATAAATATTTCAATAGCTAAGCAATTTCTTTAGATATAGTAAAAAATATTTTTTAAAATATTTATGACAGTTAGATTTAAGTTAGAATATCTGAACAGTGACGTTCCATATCACGTGACGTCCGCGTCTCGCGAAGGACGCTACTTGCCAACAAACAGTAATTTTAATTTATTTGTAACAAACAGTTATTTCTGATGAAAAATTGAGGACAATTTGAAATATCAAATATATATATAAATAAATAAATACTTTCATAAAATAAAATATTATGATTTTTATTTTGAAACTTTTCTATATATATATATATATATATATATATATATATATATATATATATATATTGATATTGATCTATCAAGACAATTTTTCTAACCATTACACCACATCGAAGTCCCCATATATATATATATATATATATATATATATATATATATATATTATCTTACCACTGAGTAGTGAGTTCGATCCTCACTGGGTTCCCCATAATTCCGGTCTTAGATAATCATAATATATATATATATATATATATATATATATATATATATATATATATATATATATATAATCGAAAAAATAACATATGCCTGTCAGTGTTACGCCTAAAATTATTTACAGATTTTTATCGCATTGTTTGAAGATTTCTTGACGGATGAAACTGATAATCACAAGGCAGTGTTGATTTCTATGTCCACAATGCGTCTTTTCCACACACACACACACACACACACACACACATACATATATATATATATATATATATATATATATATATGTATATTTGAACAAGTTTCATTTATTAATGAGAAATATTTTATTAATTCAAACGTTCATAGTTGATATTATTGAATGTTGTTTTTTGTTTTTTTTTATTAATAAGGCTTCCATTATTTGTAGTCTTTTTTGCATGGACATAATATCTTGACCGTGTTTTGAAAATGAAAACCTTATATAAATATGTACATACAACAATCGATTTCTTGTTAGCAGTTAATATATTTCAACCTTGAAAATGGCTAAATGTATAGTCGAAAGCGCTCGGATAAAAAGAACAATTGAACAGTTTTTATATAATTTATCATCCGAAAAGAAAAACTAAATAGATCACAGGAGAAATTCTATAAAAAACTAAATCAATGCACCTTATATATCCTATTCCATGCAATATATATATATATATATATATATATATATATATATATATATATATATATATATATATATATATAGGTTGTATCAAAATAATCTTACACTAGGAGCGGGTCCCTCAACTAAAAAAAGTCCATATAAACATGTCTGCAAATCCTTTGTTTTTGAGTTAAGTTTAAAGAAAATTTGCGGTAGATGGTGCTGTGTTGTCATCTAGGCTAGTTAGCATTTATCATTCGTGTACATTTGTCGCTGACTTCAACGTATTTACGTGTGTAGTAGTGAGTTAACTTAGAATTTTTTCGTTTAAGAATGCCAACAAATTCATATTGTGTGCAGTCAGATTTGATTTTAACATAAGACTTCGCAAATGGTAATGGGCTCGAGGCTGCATGGCTGTATCAGATTGTGTTTCCAGACCGAAGGCAGTCGAGTCATCCGACCTCTGCTGTTACTTATCGTCGGGTTGCTGTGACAGAATCCGTGGAACAAACTATTGATCGAGAAAGACTGAGATCCGCTCGTACGCCTGACTACGAAGAACACATTCTACAGGCTCTCAGAGATCCAAATAACAGAACATGTCAATTGGCCCTAGGATATACATCCCATAGTACCACATATATCCGTATCTTTTGCAACGTGTACAGGGTTTTTCCCACTCTGATCACTCATCACGGGAGACTTTTTGCCGATGATTTATTGCATAAACTGCCAATCCGTGTTTTGTCTCCTCAGTCTTGTTTACGGTGGAGGCAACATTTAGAAGAGTTGCAATATCAAAATTTAAATAATCAACAGTTTTTGGCTGATTAGAAGTCCCATGTCACAATACATGTTAGACACCAGGATAAGATTAATGTGTGGGTTGGAATTATTGATGAGTGTCTGGTAGCTCCATATGTTCTCGCAGCACGTCTTAGAGGAGCTGTCTACAGGGACTTTATTTCGAACACACTTACTCATTCCCTAAATCTCTTGGATATTGACCTGTGGGGCCACCTAAAACAATTGGACTATGCACCAGCCATTAATAATGAAGAGATGCTTCATCAATGGGATCCAGCGAAACCATTGTGGGAGTATTTGAAAGGTTCCACCAGTCAATGATCCGACGAGACCACGCATGTGTAGAAGCAAGCGGAGGCGATTTTGAACATTGGTTACGGGTTGCTGTGTTGAGGTCCAACGATGGACTCTTGGACAAATATTTACTTTTTTTTTTTTGGTGGGGGGGTCAGAACCCGCCCTCTAAATTTGTAAAAGTATTTTTATACGCCCCATATATATATATATATATATATATATATATATATATATATCTGTTTTGGATAAGACTTGTTGTTTATGTCCATCGTCTTTGTCAAATTGAACTGAATTGTATTTTAATGAATATTGTCTTGAAAAAGGTTTATTAAACCGAAACGTCAGACGTCGACATTTCATTCATTTTAAACAACATAATTGCATTTAAGGATTTTGGTTTGTTTTTTCCAAATTTTTCTTCATATATATGTATGTGTGTGTGTGTGTGTGTGTGTGTGTGTGTGTGTGTGTGTGTGTGTGTGTGTGTGTGTGTGTGTGTGCGATTTATCTTCTTTTTCATGATATAAAATTTCAAGATGGCTGTAATTAACGGACAAATTTTTGCTTTTTTTGATCACGTGACCACAATAGTACCAACTATAAGCACGCATGTGCAGAAGGCGCGTGGCAAAGGTAAAGATATGTTATGCTTAAAGAATGGATAATCTTTTACTTGCCCTCGTATAATGTAACGTATTCTGAAGTCAATTTTGCATTCTTTATTTTCATGTGCTATGTCCTTTCAGGACGTAGGCAATCATGGCTCTCCACCTCTTCCTCTATCCCTTGCAGCTCTCAACAAGTACCTTCCCTCTGCTACCTCCCCCATACCACGTTCTGTCATCCACTTGCTTAAGCCCACCAGGAATGTCATGCGTTGTTTTCTCTTGTCTCTCTTTCCCTCTATTCGACCCATGAGTATCAGATTCTTCAGGCCTTCCTTCCTCATTATGTGTCCCAGAAACTTCAGCTGCCTTGGATTCCCTAAATATGAAATATATCAAATATGTGAATGTGACATTGTTAGGAAACGTTTTTTTTTAATATTTTTTTAATAATCTATCTTCGTATATATAACACAACTCTCCAGATTAGTAGTTCTTTATTTTCTTTTTATGTGACATGTACTTTCAGGACGTAGGCAATCATGGCTCTCCACCTCTTCCTCTATCCCTTGCAGCTCTCAACAAGTCCCTTCCCTCTGCTTCTTCCCCCATACCACGTTCTGTCATCCACTTGCCTAAGTACGCTAGGTATGTCATGCGTTGTTTTCCCTTGTCTCTCTTTCCCTCTATTCGACCCGTGAGTATCAAATTCTTCAGGCCCTCCTTTTTTCATTATGTGTCCCAGAGACCTCAACTGCCTCTTTCTGATGTTACGTATTAGCCGCCTCCTTGTTTGCAACATCTCTAAGACCTCATCATTGCTCACACGCTCAGTTCATGATATCCTTAGCATCCTTCTCTAGAACCACATCTCCGTCGCCACGAATTTCTTCCACATCTTTGCGGAAATCGTTCAACATTCGCTGCCGTAAAGAAAGACAGACGTCACGTCACAGCTCAGTATTTTTTTCTTTGTTACCAAAGAAGTCCCCCTGTATCGCAATACTCTGTATAACTTCCTAATGCAACAGGAAATACATTATTCATTCAGTTATGACTTTTTTCTTAAAGATCATTAGAGCAGTCAGAATCTTCATGTAAAGAAACTATTAATTAAGCATTGTCATTTTTTTAAAAATAACCTGCGATATGTTACATCGAGGAATTTGTGCCTTAAATCTGACCTCATTTGGAAAAGAACGACACAGTCTCCAATCAACTGTAGATCTCTAATACGTACAACTATTTTAACAGCAAAAAACGACATTATTACGTCATTATTTTTGCACCAACCTAATATTTTTTTGAGAGGATCATAATTTAGATTTGAATTTTTGAGAGACTATTCTTTGGTAATGAAGATGCATTTAGATTTGTACATAGTGAGTAGGTGTGTCAGTGAAGGAAGAGTGACAGAGAGAGTTTGAGAGAGAGAGAGAGGGGGGTAGTTTAGTCTGGAATGAAACGGTCTTTCTGACACCCAGTGTAGATCGAATTAAGTCTTAATAGCGTGTAAGTGAACCTCTTCAAACACTGCTCTGAAAAAGTTAAATAACATGACAAATTAGACTCTCTTGCAAGAAGTAAAGTAAGCAACCAGTGCAATAAGCGAGCAGTCTTGGTGAAATAAAAATCTTCAGAGATATGGGACCCGTCAGGCCATATTGCCCTAGACATAACCACAATTGTCACAGCGTCAATACTTGTGTTGTCTCTATGAACCTCATGAGTAATGTGATTTGTAATTGTTAAGCGATATAACCTATAATTATGTTGATACTCGTGAGAACCAATATCGTTGTAATAATAGAAATTTACAAGACGAGATTGATAACGTTTTATTACGATTAATCAAATCTTATTTCTCTTCTCAACCCAATTAATCAGTGTAATTATTTTATAATTAACTAGACACAATGGAATTTGAGGACACTGTGCCTTTAAGTCTGACCTCGAAAAGGTGACGGGATTTTTTATGTGCAGCTACCAAACAAGAATGTACCATTTCTTCGTCAAAGATTTTTTACGTTTATAATTCACAAGATCATGCTTTAAATCTTCTTCTTCTTCTTCTGCTTCTTCTTCTTCTTCTTCTTCTTCTTCTTCTTCTTCTTCTTCTTATTATTATTATTATTATTATTATTATTCCTTTTCTCTAACTCCACTTCTCTCTTCTTTGCCTCTCACTCTTCACTCCCTCCTTCCTTTCTTCTTCTTCTTCTTCTTCTTCTTCTTCTTCTTCTTCTTCTTCTTCTTCTTCTCCTTCTTCTACACATTTCCTTTGTCATTAATCGGCTCCATTTTCTTTATAATATTTCTCCCTTCATTGACTTGTTGTTTCACGTCTTCTTCTTCTTCTTCTTCTTCTTCTTCTTCTTCTTCTTCTTTCTTTCTTTCTTTCATTATTTCTTTCTTTCTCTTGGATTTCCCGTCTTCCTCCTCTTCTTTCTTCTGTCAAAGCCAAATGTTGTTTCACTTCTTCTACACATTCCTCCTTTTTCCTTTGTTATATTTTGTCTTCTTCTTTCTCCTCTACTTATTTTTCTGCACATTTTCTACCTTCTTCCCCGTGTCATTTCGCATCTTCTTCTTCACATTTTTCCTCGTCTTCCTGGTTATCTTCTCATAAAACAGAAAGAATATATGACATTAAAAAAATAAAGTGTTGAAGACAGCATAAAGAAAGGCGAAAGCCCAAACGAAGCCCTTCTAGAGAAGGAATCTGCATGCACATCTTCGTGGTTAGCATAGGTCAGTTAATTTAAAAACATATCAACGCTTGTCGAATAGGCTATTAATGGGAAGGTTGGTATACTGCAGTTCCAATTATACGATAGAGTAAAAAGGGATTTTATTGTAGTTAAATATAACCGATTTACATTCCAGTCAAATTGTAAACATTAGTCGTTTTATCTAGAGTCTGAAAGTATTTTTCCTTTCTGCAAGGAGTGAAGTCTTCCCAGTCCATGGTGATTTTCATAATCTTAGCTTAGATGAGGTACAAAGCCGAACGTATTGGGCTCCCAGTGAGGGTAGAACTCACTACTCAGTCGTAAGTTTCTCTACCATTAAATCTCGTCATTGCGATCGCAATGGACCGCGAATCCTGTGACCCATCAGTGTCAAAGGGGCACCATATGTACTGTGGCCGCAGTAGAAGTGGTGTTTCTTGGTCAAGATAGCCTAACGGATCCCAACCCTCTCCAGGCCGTTTTTTTTTTTTAAATTCAGAGTTATTTTCTATTAGACCGGTTGACACCAGCCTATTTTGCTATTTATCCATAGCCGAGGAAGAAGAGGATTCATGTATTAGCACGAAAGTGAATGTAATGAAACTAACTGGGATTCGTACACCTATTCCTCAATCCGACTCGTTAACCATCACTCTACCGTACCTCCTAGTCTATGATCAAACAATCGTAAAAAGAGAACGTTATTTGAAATACTGATTTTCAAAACAGTAAAGGAAATTGGAGCTGCACATTCTTTCTACGTTTGAATTTGTATCCTTTCGCCTTTTTCCAAAACTGAGCATCTTCTTCTTTTTCTTCTTCTTCTTCTTCCTCTTCCTCTTCTTCTTCTTCTTCTACACATTTCCTTTGTCATTTCTCGGCTCCATTTTCTTTATAATATTTCCTCCCTTCACTGACTTGTTGTTTCACGTCTTTTCTTCTTCTTCTTCTTCTTCTTCTTCTATACTTTTTATCTCATATTTACCATGCTAGTTTTAAACATGCCCCATTTTTTCAGCCATCTTTTCCACCCTAAAAATGCTCCTTTTTTTCTTCAGAAACGGATATTCTGCTTTCCCCGCTTGCATTTTATTCAAGAGCTGTTTGTACAACACAGATTCTACCCTTTATAGAAAAAGAAAAGTTTGGAACTTCTTTTTCGTCTCCTCTTACATCCTGGCGCTCACTCCTTCAATCTGTCCCTGTAATATACGGTGACTTACACTTCTATATACACCTGGAGGGACACACAATTCACGCGTTCGATCGCAAATATGATCGATGTACTTCAAATGTATTCGCAAGGCTGAAAGTGGTTCGTATGTGTTTTTGACACGCTGCATTGGCTGTGTTCATATTATGACGCGTCGAAGCGTGAATGAGCGCAATGAAGAAGAACTGTCATGGTGCATTAGAGAAACTACCTGTAACAAACACTCACCTGAATATTGCCATATTCAATCGGTAAAAAAAAAAATACTAGTATATTGATAAATAATATTTAGTGATTAAAATGGAAATGGTAGTAATATCAATGATAATAAAAAATTTTCTAACAATAAAATATAAAAAATACAGGGACTGTCTTAAAGATATTACCATTAAGTTTAATCAGTGTATCTCAACACAGGCGTTTGAAACATTTCAGTATATAAATACATTGAAGTGCAAATTGCACTAGTCCGACATTTGTGCACAATTAAAATTCAATAATAATAACATCACTGTGAGTTTTTTTTGAGAATGTACTTCTGCCTACATTAAGAAAGCCAACTACCGTAGAACGTACTGGGTATGTCGATAAATTACATTCAATAGTAAAACCTCTGATCGAGAATTTTCCCATTCTGGCCCGGGGAGTAGCACCTGTTAGTGTCTCAGCTATGGCTAAATAGTTAACGACTAAACATGTTTTAAATCACTATGAAAGTATAAAAATACATTTTTATAGTAAAAATACCAGCAATACATACTTGCAAAATAATATTACCAACAATACATATGACTCTCGACAAAAAAAACGCTTTAAAATATACGTCAAAGACACCTGATCTACAAACTGATTACTTACAAAGAATACATATTCTATTCATACGAATCGATCCAAAAAATCTTGTCAGCATTAAATAACCAATTGAGTTTGATATGCCTGTTGTTCATGATGACGGTCGTCTTTGAGTATAGAATCCAGAGGTTAGCAGTGAATATTTCGAAGACAGTAGGGAAGCGTTGTTCAGGTTAGCAGTGGATATTCCGGTAAAAGTAGCAGAGCGTAGTTCTTCCTTCTGTTTCTCTTCGCCTGACAAGCTGGCATTGGACATTCGGATAGAGTAAACAAAATGGCCGCCTTTATACACGACGGATTGAATATTCTACGCTTTCTGATTGGTTAACCTTCTATTGGTGGATTATAAAGGGAGTCAAGTCATTTGGGCTAACTCACTAGTAGATATATACAAAAAAAACTGCAACAATACCGTAAAACAAAATGAAACAAACCAAATCACTTTAGAAGACGTATAGAATCGTACTTTAAGCTCTGTCCCCATGCTAGGGGGACTTTATCAATGTAATAGGATCAATAACATTCTAAGAAAAAAAATTACATCTCGAGTAAAAACTTGTAAATGTGTTGAATTAAACAGCAAGTTAGTGAAAATGTGAAGTTGATTTTTATTCATTCTAGCTATCTCAGACATTCACGCCAATCATCACAGTCCTGTAGGTCAGAAGATCATCAGGTTGCTATTCTCTGTCATAACATAGCTGGTCAATGTGGCATTTTCTGGCTGACCAGCCGGTCTTGCATCATGGCTTGGTGTCCAGAGCATTAAATCACAGAGCATAGTCCTTGTTTTCTCGCCAACAGTACCCTGCAAAGTACATTCTGTGTTCGCATTCGATTGTAGAAATATAAGGAATGGGTCCATAGATCTTTAATTTTATTGGATGTTGTCTCCAACATGTTAATTGCAGCTCTCAGGATCCGAGTGTAGATTCCATCAAGCTTAGACTAGGTGTTTAGTTAATATCCATGTATTAGCACCAACAGCACCTCTACAACGGCTTGAAAGAACCTCCGTTTGAGGTAGATCAGGTTTCCCAATTACATCCATTTTATTCAAGGCTTTCGCTATGCAAAATTTCACATTTTTTTCAGTGACTTCCTTCTTTTATGCGGAATGGACCTTTAGGGCGTAGGCGATCATGGCCCTCCACATCCTACTGTCCCTTATAGCTCTTAAGTTTTGTTATTTCTTCCAGACACTGTTCAGCTTTCCTCTTGCATAAGCCCATTAAGTATGTTATGCGTTGCTTTCCCCTGTCCCCCTTTCTCTCCATCCGTCTTGTGAGTATCAGATTCTCCAAGCCATCTTACCTCATTACATGTCCCAGAAATTTCAGTTACCTCTTCCTGACGTTAAGTATAAGCTTTCTCTTCGTCTCCATTCTCTCCAAAACCTCGTCATTGCTCGCACGTTCGGCTCATGCCATCCTTAGCATCCTTCTGTAGAACCATATTTCTATCGCCTCGAGTCTCCTTTTCGTATTTGAAGAAATTTTCCAACAATCGCTACCATATAGTAGGACAGATATCACAAAACAGTTCTGTGCCGTTTTCTTTGATTCAAACTAAACTTTCCCATTTCACAATATTCTCTTCCTTCTTTTCCTCCATTTGGATGGTATGCATGACGTTCTTCCCATTCGAAAATGACTGACCTGTTGACCATGTTCACCATAGTCTATGAATATAGAATACAGCGCAGTACGTAATCTGTTCAATAAAACAACGTTAAAGATTAACAGTCACGAGTCAGACACTCTACTGAATCTGACTATATCGCCAATACCACCAGCAGCTGTTCCGTAATTATTCAGTCTTCGATATCAAAGGCTGGCAGTGATATTTAGCCACCGCCCCACAAGGGTTATATGTGGAACAAGGCCGGGATTAACGTGGGATTTCCGAGCCAGTAGGCTCGGCCAAAAATATTCCTATTCGAACGGGTATAGATGGGTTCAGTGGCAGTCAACCTCCCCGAATTAGACTCTGCCCATCGGCGGAGCCTCGTCCGGGTTATCAAAGGCTGGCAGTGAATATTCGGGAAAAACATGGCCGCCTTTATACACGTCGCATTGAATATTTTGAGCCTTCTGATTGGTTAACCTTTCTATTGGGGAACTATAAAGTGAGTCAGCTCATTTTGGATGGCTCACTAGTACACCAGGGTACCCAAAAATTTCAACATGACCTATTATCTGCATGCTACTTTTTTTTCGGAAATGTCTTTAAAAATTACTTCAAACAAATTAATGCTCGATTTAAAATATCCAATTTCCCACAAAATTTGTTTTTGCTTTTTTGCATATGTGGAAATCACCCAACAAAGCGACTAATATTACTATAGGTTACAAAATGAGTTTCAACACTCGATGTGCATATTTTCAAAACTTTGATATTGCTGTCGCCCTCAGATACTACAGCTGACCGTGAATCCATATTTCACGGGAAATTTAATTATGGCGTTTTGCAAAGACATTCGAAGAGTTTATTTATCGATGGCAGCCATCCTTTTTGCATTTGTCTTGTCTGTTCACCTTTCTTAAAATATACATAATATACATTATTGTCTACGTACATACCATTGTTTATTTTCTCTATGTATTATATATTCGATTTAAAGAAAAAAAACTCTTATTTTTGCAATCAAAAAACGCATGCTTATGCGATAATTTTAGAATGCAACCCAAATCGCAAGCTCCAGGGTTATGGTATTACAGGTCAATTGTTTGACCTAATACAATCATTCCTATAAAACCGTGACGGATTCTCCTCCAGCTCCTATCCCACGAACGCAGGTGTTCCTCAAGGCTCCATCCTAGGCCCTACTCTGTTCTTTATCTTCATCAACGATCTTCCAGACGTCATAGGTTCCCAAGTTGGCATCTACGCGGACGACACTACAATTTACTCCTGCCTCAAAAACAAATCTAGTGTCGAGTATTTACATTAGTCGGACTATTGTCCTCATCTTTGTCGCCATATTTGTTACAACGTTTCGGCCGTAGGTGGTTGGAATTTCGAACTGAACCCTTTATTTTGATCACTGGGGTAGACTGTTCCAGTTCCACGTGCCATGTTTGATGGATGTCAGTTATCAGTTATCTCCTGCTAATTTTCCCTCTGAAAGTTCTCCACTGCCTTAACCAGGAATTGAACTCACCTTCTTTGGGTCTGTCACTGGATCTAACCAACGCCTTTATCCACTGTGCCATGTGTCCTTGAGGACATCTGGGCATGGACTTCTGAGTATTATAAACGTAGTGTTTTCAGCATCATTTTTACCAGTGCTCATATTGCAACTTTGTTATCATTGCTTTTCTCTGGCATTCCTTATTACTGGTTCCCATATTGTATTTATTTCTATGTTTGGTCGGCTCAGGACAAAGATGAGGACAAAAGTCCGACTAATGTAAATACTGTACATAATACCTCATCTCAGAATATAGACAGACTCTGAAATCTAGTGTCGTTGACAAAACTAATCTGGCCGTGCGTCTCGAATGGTACCGCCAATCGTTTGTGAACTGGGACAGGATTTGGCTGGTTAACTTTAACGCCTCAAAAACTAAACTGCTCTCTATTAATCACCATAGAGATCCTTCCCTGTCCTCCCCCATTAGAATGCCTGACGCTCGACTTCTCGAGAGCACTTCTCTGGAGCTGTTCGGTCTCACGTTGACTACTGACCTGAGATGGAACAAATACATTGAGTCAATTGCTTCGTCCACCGCAAGGAAAGTTGGCTCCCTGTGTCGCGTAAATCAACCATTCGCCCTTGCATGGAGTATTGCTGCCATATATGGTTTGGAGCTCCTTCTGTTTGCCTCGGGGTTCTTGATAAGATCCAGAGACGGATATGCAATGCATTTGGCCCTGATCTAGCATCTCGTCTGCAGTCGTTCTCTCACAGACGCAACGTCGCCTC